ATTACTAGAATATAATAAAAAGTACAAATTGTTAATACAAAGGTAAAAATTTTTATAGAATATGCTGCTTAAAACATTTAATTTGCATTTATTACAAATAATGCAAAGAAGCAACCACACATAACTCAGATTAACCTAAATCCCTGTACAGTACACAAACTGTCACATAAACATACTACCAATAAATTAAATTATATCTTTTACTCAGGCATGAAACATATGTACTTGAGAATTAAAAACCCTGAAAAGAATCCAAAAGATAAAACCTTCCAAATGATATTAAATTTAAGGCCACATCTAAAATAACAAGGCTTGATTTTATCACATGCAATAATCCTAATTTAAGGGGATTTTTCAAAGGTTTATAGAAAAATAATTTCTGTATACATGATAATAGTATCTTTTATGTAACACTTAATCTTGACCAAACCCTTTTAGACATTATTCATTTGATTTTTAGGTAATTTTAATGGACAGCTGTTTTGTTTTACATGCCCAATATTCTTTCCCCTTTCTTTTGACAATAGAATCCCTCCCTCCAGTGGAGAACCCATCCCATTGGTTTGACGAGAGTTTATAGCACTTGACTCCTGCACCTAAACCCACAGAAGTACCCTGCACAAGCTTCACAAGAACATTTCACCCTCAGGCCACAATGTTTTAGAGATGGGCACATGAACTTGGCCCATAAAAGTTCTCTCCAGGATTTCTGTCAGAGCTCACAGGAAAAGATGTTCTCAGTGTCTTTCTGACACTGAATTGTAAGGACAATGAAAGGCCTGCCCCGTCCATAAGGCTATCATTGCTACCACTTGGAAAAAGCCTGCCAGACATTTCAACCAACAGGACAAAAAGGCAGATCTGATAAATGGAGAGTGGAAAGTAGGAAGACCACTGGGAAAGGCAGAGAGAGTCCAAGTCCTAAAGATATTTGAACATCCTGAATCTAGCCTGGCCTGAAGCCATTGGACCTCCCACTTTTGTAAACCAATCAATGTATTTTTCTGTGCACCTAACTGTTACTTAAAACCAAATGATGGCTAGCTAACACACTTTTTGTAAGGTAAAGGCAGGCAGAGCAAGAGTAACGATTCCTATTTTACAAAGAAGATATATGCCCAAAGAGCAATACAGGACATTTTGTCTCTGAGGATATTCTGAAAACAAACACTGTAATTAGAATAATATTAACATTCATAAATTTTCATCAAGTAATTAGCTTTGGGGAAAAATTATGCCAAAGGATTCCGTTATCAATTTTTATAGAGTATATTTTATTAAAGCATTATTTTAGAGTGAATAGCTCTCTGTCCATATAGAATTTTACCAACTATATCATCCAAAACTCTGTTTTCTTTTGTGTCCATCAACATGGGTTAAACACCAAAAAGATTTTATTCTTTCATCAATGTTTAATCAATAACACATTTTTCAGTATATAGCAGTCAGAGTTTTATTTAATATTGTTAGTTTCTAATAATTCTTAAATAATTTTATATGACTGATAGTTTTTATTTAATTCTTAGCTAACCCATGAGAAATTTAGATATTTTCCTCAGATATTTCGAAACTGTTATATTGTCAAGATCTTAACCAATCTCAAAAATGCTTTTCTCAGTTATGTATCTTGGGTACATCTGTGGTATATGGTAGCCCATCTAAAATGTGCTTTTAATGTTCTTAATCCACTCAAAATTGTAAATTATAGATTATGTCAATGAATATGCACACTTTAGGATATTCAAAACTGTGTAATAAGCTCACCAATTCAATGACTTGTAGCTCTGACAAACAAGTGGCTTTAGTTTAGGGTTTCTCAACAGCAGCATTACTGACATAAGGGGCAGGATAATTCTTTGTTGTGTGGGCTGTACTGTGCATTGTAAAATGTTTAGCAGTATCCCTGGCCTCTACCCACTAGATACTAGTAACATCCCCTTCCTCCAAAAATGTCTTCAGATATTGCCAAATGTTCCCAGGAGTGGGGTGAGGATTCACCACTTGTGTCACCTTTCCTTAAAAAAAAAATACAAAACTTAGACTGAACAGAAAACCAAATATTTCACCAATTTCCCTATTAGTCTGCATGCTCCTAATACAGGTCTTCCCAATAACTTATTAGGTTATAACTGTTCTGGAATTTTATTGTTAAATTCTTTAATACGCAATAGGATCACAATGTTCTCAGGGTCAAAATAGGCTGCTACAGGTTCAAAGTAGTTAATAATTTCCCCAAAGTTAACACCTAGTAAACACAGTCCTAAGACCTGAACCACAATACAGTTTTTCCCTTGGTACATATTTCTCAGTTGAAGCCACAGTTCTGTATTTTCCCTTCCCAAAGTCATCAATTCTGTTGTACCCCAAGAATATAATCTTAAAAATCACAAAAATGCCTATAGACAGATATTTATTGCACTGTTTATATATTTAAAAATAAACAACCTGAATATCCAGAAATAGAAAATTGGTAAAATAAATATTATGTAGGTAAATATATGAGCTTAATACCTATTTGAAATAATCATATATAACAATACTTATCACTATGTTAATATGTTTGTAATAATAGCTAAGTGAGAATAAATTATAAAACACACATGATCCCCAATTTAAAAAAAAAAAATGTGTTTGTATAAAAATAAATATTATATATTACAAAGTCTGATAGGATTAACATCAAAAAATGGACAATTATGAGTTTGTATGGGAGGATTATGTTTTAGGGAATTTGTTTGTATTTTTTGCTTTTCTACAATAAACGGATTTATTGTATAAAAAGCATTTTTAAATATGCCTATTAAAAAAATTATTTCATACAGAAAAGTCATAAACAGTGAATTCCTATAATAATAATAACAATAATGCTGTTAAAGGATAGCACTAAATATGTCATAGTGAATTTATAAAGCTTTGTTTCCAGGTTTATCACTTTATATTGATCTATGGTATATCTGAACTGTGAAAGCACTACAATAATTTCTATTGAAAACTCTTTGCAGTAGCTAACCTTATTAACCTCTTTGTTCATAAAACCAAAATACAATACTGTTATGAAGTAAAGGAATACGAATAATTTACAAATTATGGATATTAAGACTATTTGATAGCAAGAAATAAAAACCTGTAGGTTTGGGGATTTTTTTTTCTTAACATAACTGACCCCCTCTTCCTTCTGCTTACCAGCCTTTTAAAGCTCCTATCTGGAAAACCAACAAGGCAATTCCAGCCTCTCCTGCTACTCCTCTATATGAACTTGAACATAATAAGCCACTGAATGCTTCTTAGATACAAAGTGTTGCAAGGCACAAAAAAGAATATAAATAAGATATACATATAGTCCAGGCAAAATAAGAACAGTATATAACTTGCATTTATTGTTTTATGTAGCTTGCTGCTCTTTTTCCAAACTATGTATTAGGAAGCAGGGTCAATTACATACAGAGAGGAGATAACAAGTTACTGGTCACATGTTTGAGTGCTCCTGAGAACATCTTTCCAACCTAAATAGTAATTCATTAAGGCATACTGCTATTTGTGGTTTCCCATTTGTCTGTGTACAACTTCTGATTTAAAGTGGGACACTCCAACCTTGATGGCCAACATCATGACCCAGGGTAACTAAGAGTTTGCCTCCTGTTTATCTGGATCAGAACTGTTCTTGAGTCCAGATTTCTGGTGAGTTCCCAGCTGCATTTATCCACAGTCCTCAAACCTATTCCTGGTGGATCTTGCCAGAGTCAATGACTGAGTTTAAGTTAATATGTTGTCTGTAATGTGTCTATGGGTCTCACACTTGAAGCAAAACTTGTACTTTGATTTGCTGGACATAACACAAATTTTGAGACCATTTACAACTAATCACCAATACCTATATAAGTACAGACTTAAAAATTCCCACCCACATGGATTTTTTTTTTTTTTTTTAACATATCTTTATTGATTTCAGAGAGAGGAAAGGAGAGGGACATAGAGAGATAGAAACATCAATGATGAGAGAGTCATTGATGGAGCCCGCAACCGGGCATGTGCCCTAACCGGGAATCGAACCCCGATTGCCTGGATCCTAGGTCGATGCTCAACTGCTGAGCCACACCCGGCCGGGCTGATTTCTAATGTTCTTATAATCAACATGTATTACTCATGTACAAAGAACATTCTTTTTCTTTTTTAGAAAGTTCACATGAATTATCTCTGTTCCACCTGCCTACCCAGATAGTTCTGATAGTTCTCAATCTAAAAGGAACTGGTGCAGTTCTTCTAAAACCAAGGAAACAGAATAACTCTCACAGAGCTGAAAATACACATACTAAGAATAATAAAGAAGCTAACTTTATTGAACATTAATATGTGCCAGGGATTGTATCGGGTAATTAAATCCTCACAACAACCCTATCAGAAGTACTCAAGGAGCGTATATCTTATCCTCATTTTACAGTTAAGAAAACTGGGTCACAATATTAAGTAACCTACCCTCAAATCCCCATATCCAGACAGGGCAGAAATGGGCTGCAACCCAGACTAACTCCCCAAGTTACAGATTATGCTACACTTCCACCCTTGACCTTTGCCTTCTAAGACAAAGGAGCAACAAACAGACAAAAACTCAAAGAATAAAAAACAAAGGCATAAACAAATACCCTAGAAGTCACAATAACTGACAAGGGGCAAAATCTGACACCACAACTCCATACAGAAAAAAAAAAAAATTGTTCAGTGAATGAATGAATGAAATGTATGGGACTTAAACTCTCTCATTTCCTGGCAAGAATTACTTGGCCGGCGGAAAACTAGGAAAGCAAAGGGAACAACGAAACCTGCGATTTCATAGTGAAAACCTCCATTATTCTAAGCAACAATAACTGACAAAATCTTGCCTAGAAACGCTTTGCCCATCAAGAGCAGCAACAATAGACATCCCTGCCTTTAACCAGAACAAATGCTCCAACTTCAACACACATGAGATTCCTAAAACCGGTTCACGTAGGGCCAAAACCTACAGAGCTTAGAAATCAGAGCACGTGACTCCAAAGGCACCCGCAGCGGCGGTGTGATCTCCAGCAAGGCTGTTCCTCTGGGCGTCAGTGACCTCAATCGTTGCGTCAGGGGGTTTTAACTAAATTAAGTTGTCATTTTCAGCGCTAAGAAACTGTGAACCTGTGAGAAAGGAAAACTCCTGTAAAACTTGGAAAGGCTCACGGATACTCTGAAAACACCGTGAGCGATGGGTTCCTTGGCGAGAACACGCGTATCTAAGCCACCACCAGCCCGGGCTGCAGCAGGGCACCGGGCGGCGCGCAGGCCCTCGTGACTCGACACAAGGTCAAGTCTGGCTTTCAGCAACCTCCGCGGGCCGCCGCGGTAACCTCTGCGTGCACTGCAATCCAGTCAGAATCGGGGCTGAGGGGTGACAGCAGCAGTGGGGGGAGAAAGCCCTCTTCCAAGTCCTCAGAAGCCGCATCCAGACCCCTCAGGCTACTGAATGAGGCCGGGCTCTGCACCCACTTCACGCCGCATTACACAG